GATTACGTGTCATCAATTGATTACTAGGTTCCAACCTGCCGCTTTCAGACGGAGAATGATTGCAGCAGAGAAGCGGCGGTGTGTTATACGGCACCGTTTTTTGAATCTTTTAATAAATCCCCAGCCTCCCCGTCTCATCATATTCTTCTCTCCTCTCTTTATTAATCAAACTGAAAATAGTCCTACTGCCGGAGTGAAAAAAAATGCTTTCTTCCAAAATCGCTAACCCTAGCTGCGATTCCTTCCCTCCTCTGAGAAGAGCTTCGTCGCCTTCTCGCGCCGCTTCAATGGCGTTGTCCACGTCGCCTTCTCTACGAATCAACTCTCTTTGCAGGCCTCGTGCTTTCGGAATCTCCATCACGTCGACTCGGACTGGTCTTCTTAGTCCGATAGGTCTTGGTGACAGTTTTCGTTTACTTGATAGGCGGATTTCGTTTGATCGTTCGATTGTGGCTTTTGCAGCTTCGCATGAGGAATCCGTGAGTTAAAAATTGTTTTCTTTACGCCGAATTTCATTGTTTAATTGTTCATTTCTGTTCTTGGAAGCCTGCATTTCCGACTAAGAGGAATGGAGTGGAGGATGGTGTCGTTCTTGCATATCCGATGAAGAGGAGTGGAGAGGATGGTGTTGTTGAATTAGTTCAATTTCAGGGTTCGTGTTTAGGGAATGAGTAAATGATTGTATTTTTTGATTATCAACCAGATCTTTTCGATTAATATAATTGCAGTTTTGTTTGACATGGACGTAGCATTTAGTGAGGGTTTCACTGTGTTCTGGATGCAATCTAATTCTGTTGTGATATGCAGCATTGTTATTAAATGAGTTTTCATTTTCTAATTACTATCTTTGTTGTTAGTTTCCTTGGAGTTATAATCCTTTTTTGGCTTAATTGTCTGAAGTAATAGCTAGTGTTTGATTTTGATGCCAGAAGCATTCAGAAATTGAGGTAGAGAAGGAAAAAGAAGATCTTGACTTCCAAGCTGAAGAATCTGAAGAAGCATGGAAACAGACTCTAGCTTCCTTTAAAGAGCAGGCATTAAAGATGCGAAGCATGTCTCAAGAAGCATATGAGATATACTCTAAGAGAGCAATGATCATTTTGAAAGAAACTTCGGAACAGCTAAAAATTCAAGCGGAAAAGGCCAGAAATGATTTGACTGAAGCAGCGAGAGAAATCAGCGAAGA